GTCCTGAAGACATGGCTCAGAGGTTAAGTCTACTTGCAAAAGACCCTAGTTCAGTTCCTAGCACTCACATAGTAGCTCACAACCATCTCCTAACACAAGTTCCAGAGGATTTGACATCCTCTTCTGTTTGCTTTGGACACCATGCATGCCTGTGGTTTGCATATATATATGCATTCACATAAAATAAACCTTTGAAAAAGTAAAATATGTTGACTTACTGCATTGTAATTTGAGTATACTTTGCGGAAGAATTGACATTTTTCCAATATTGAACTTTCTTAATCAATAATATGGTGTCGAGGCTTTAGCAATGCCTCAGCCAAGTTCGATTTCCAGCACTCACATGGTGGCTCACAACCATCTGTAACTCCAGTTCCAAGAGATCTGATACCCTTTTCTGGCTTCTTCTACAAGAGCATCAGGCATGCATGTGGTTCACAGGTAAATAAAACATCCATACACATAAAATAAGTTAAAAAATAAAAGCAAAACATCATGCAGCCCTCCACTAAGATTTTAAATCTTTCTCATAAATTTGTAATTTTTTCCCTAAGATTGTATTTCTCTTATGGAATTTGTGTCTGGGTTATAGACGGGGTAGATGTTATAGTGGGCCAACCCCAGGCCCAGGATGTGGGTCTGAGTGCTATCTGAGCTGGTCCACAGAACCGATTCCGTCAAGTGAGAGATAGTGAGGGACAGAGCCAGCTGTACTAGGCCTATGCCATCGGAACCAACTCTTCCCACACCATATGAGGGGTATGGCTATCTGTCCAAGCATTGGAGGTAGGGTGGGGCTCTTCTGCTGCAGTGTCGAGTAAGGGACAGGACCAGCTGTCCCAGGGTAGTGAGGGGTGGGGCCGGCTTCAGCATGGCCTTCAGATTTCAACATGCATGGTTCCTATGACCCCCTGTAGCAACATGGACCTGGATTGTCCATGACCCTGGTGGCAGCACAACCCTCAGACACCAACATGGTCTGAAGTGGCTGTCCAGACTCTGGGCATCTGCACAGCCCTTCTTGGTAACAGGAACCAAGGACATTAGCTCATACCCTGACTGCTGCTGGGCCACGGACCCAGACCCCTGACATCAGCATGGCCTTTGACAATATTAGGAGCCATGGACATCAACACAGATCCTGGTCCAGACAATAGTACAGCCCCAGGTGTCAGTGCAGGTCATTCATATTGACATGGCCCCAGGTTATGGCCTGGACCCCTACGCATCCCGTGTGGCCCCTGGTGGCACCACAGGTCACAGACTAAAATAAAACACAGCCCTGGTTGTGGTCAGGTGTTACCATGGCTCCAGGTGGTAGCCCAGACCCCTGACGTCTGCATGGCCTTCAATAGTATGAGAATCATAGGCATCAACACAGACCTTGACTGTGGTAAGGCCATGGACCCAGGCAGGGCCCCCAGCTACAGTGCCAGGATGTTACCATGGCACCTGTGGCAGTGCAGGCCACTCAAATCTGTTTGGCCTTGACTGCAATGTGACCCTCAGACACTAAAATGACCGTAGACCGTGACTTCAGTAGGACCACAGACCCAGACATTACCCTGGGCCCAGGTGGCAAGCAGGCTGCAACACCAGCCCATTCCTCACCACCCTTGCTTCTTCAGAACTGCTTCTTACCACAGCACACACCATTCTGCCTCCCCTTCTTTCCCATTTCTCCACCATCTACTTGTTTATCATAATGGCACCCATCCTGAGGGTGCTGGGATGGCCTATGGATGTGTTTAGGTAGCCTGGGTCGTGAGACCCCAACCTGAGCCACTTTGTGTCTTCTGTTTTAAGGAGAATATTTATGAATGAGGTCTCACACAACTACCTTAGTCTATACTGAGACTCATTTGTAATCAATGACCTTGAATTCCTGGTCCTCCTGCCTCCATCTCCCATGTGTCCAGATTGCAGGGATTCATGGGTGTTAGGCATGTACAGACTGAGTTATAATCCCAGCTTGATTTTTGCATGTGATCTTGATCCTCACAGTATGATACGTTCTTTTCAGTAGATCTGAGTCTCTTAAATCTTGGATGTGGATAAATATGCACTGTTGTGGAAACTTGTGTTGTACTTGTCTCTTCTAATCTTGTTATACATTGGTTAGGAACTGAAGTGTACTGTTGAAGGGTCTTTAGTTTCTTAGAGTTAAATTCTTTGTAGTAAACAGCCTTCAATTAGCTTTCTGAGAATACTTGCTTGTTGAGTGCAGACTTCCTGCCAGCCTGGTTCTAGAGCCCCATCAGTCCCAAATGAACACACAGGAGGCTATATTAATTATGAAGCTGTTGACCATTTGCTTGTTTCTTACTGGCTATCTCTGACTTAAGTATTTACCCCATAATTGTAAATCTAAGTATTTCTCTTACCGGAGAAAGGGTCTGAACCTCTTACTTCTATGGCGGCTACATGATGTCTCCCTCTGTTTTTCCTCCCCAGAGTCCTTCTTGACTCTTAGTCCCACCTATTGGCCAACAGTGCTTTATTCAACAACCAATAAGAGGCAGATTTCAGAATGACATCTCCCATCACTTGCTTCTTGCTGAGCAAAAGTTTATCAGATTCATGAAGAATGGAAAATCCTTCTGAATTTTTATTTTTTAAATATGTGCAGGTGTCCACAGAGGCCACAGGTATCATGGAAATTCAGACACTTGTGAGACATTTGATGTGCTGGGAATTGAACTTGTAAGAGCAGTGCACATACTCTTGACTGCTGAGCTTATCTTTTTTAAACATTGCACTTGGGAGAGAATAGTTATGGTTATTGCTGATGGTTCCTTTTATTTTTTTTTCCCAGTTGACCTTTACTACAGTTATTGGCAGAATCTCATTGTCTGACTTGGACTTGGATATGTAGTTCAGACAGGCTTTGAACCTGCAATCTTTCTACCTTAGTTGATACTTAAACATTTTAAATATCTATGGGGCCTGTTCAAAGGCATCTGTTGCCAAACCTCCTGACCTGAGTTTGACCCCAGGGTCCACATAGTTGAGAGAGCTGACCCTGAATGTTGTCCTTAACCCATGTGTGTGCCCCCATGAAGAAATTAAAACTTAATAGAGTATTTTTTATAAAATAATACTTAGATAATTAATAAGTGAATGTGTGCCCAAAAACCTTTCTTTTAAGATTAAAAAAATAGCACTGTGGGCCTGGAGAGGTAGCTCAGTGGTTAAGAGCACTGGTTATTCTTCACACAGCTCTCTGTATAGTCTGTTATTGTTCTTCATATTAGAATACCCCCCATAAGATTCTTGAGTATGAGTGTTTTAGTTAGGATTTCTATGGTGACTCTTAGAAAGAAAGGAAACATTTAATTGGAGGCTTGCTTGTAGTTTTAGAGGGTTAGTGCATTGTCATCATGGGGGGGGAGTATGGCAGCATGCAGACAGATGTGGTGCTGGAGAGGTAGCTGAGAGTTCTGAATCCAAGGGCAGCAGGCTTGCCTTGAACTTCTAAAACCTCGAAGCCCTCCCCCAGTGACACACCTCTTCCACAAGGCCACATACACTCCAACAAGGCCACGCCTTCTAATAGTGCCACTCCATATGAGCCTATAGGGACCATTTTTCTTCAACCATCACAAATGAGTGATTCCCACTTTTTTCCAGGAACTAATTTATGGTAATTTATAAGGAGGCACTGTCTGTTTAATGAATATATGTTAATGCAAATGTAGACCATTAATTGGTTTGCTTTGGTTTTTTTTTGTTGTTGTTGTTGTTGTTTTTTGTTTTGTTTTGTTTTTTTGAGGCAGGGTTTCTCTAGCTCTGGCTGTCCTGGAGACTATGTGACTTTCTTATTATTTGTGAAAAGAACTTGTTAAGAAAACTCCCAGAAGATAGAAATACCAATACTGGAGTGATGCCTTGTGGTTAAGAGCACTGGCTGCTTTCCCAGAGAACCTGGATTCAATTCCCAGCACCCACATGGCAGTCCACAATGTCTATAACTCCAGTTCTAAGGAATCCAACATGCTCACACATACAGACACAGGTGCAGGTCAAAAGCCAATGCACATAAAATAAAAATAAACAGGCCATTTAAAAAAAGAAACATCAATATTTCAAATCTGGGAAATAGAAAACATGAATAAGTAAGACTGTTTTAGAGCTGAGTGTATGGCTTACCAAGTTAGTAGAGTGCTTGCTAGCACGAATAAAGCCCATTCAGTCCCTAGTATCACATGAAACCAAGTGTAATGGTACACACCTGCAACCCCAACGTTTTGGGAGAGGCAGGAGGATCGGTGTAGTTCAAGTTTGGACTGCTTGAAACTATCTCACAACAAAAAGAAAGTAATATTCTAAATCATGGTGGGCACAGGGGATCAGTGGAACAGTCATGGAAGAGGTTGTAAAACCTTCAAAAACAAGTATTGTGTGCTTGCACTACCTTTTAGTGGTGTTTCTCTGAACTTCAGGAGCCGTTGTTGGTCTGTATAGTGAAATAGCCATAGGATCACACATGGCAGCCCCTCACATGTGGCAGCACCGCAGTCCACCTCACCACCTGTCTCTGTAGAGGTTATTGTAAAGATGATCTAAACATCCATCCTGCTTTGTGTGGTTACACCAACCGCCCTTTTACCACACTGGGGTTGCTCACTGCATCCCAGAGATGGATGCTTCAAGGAGCAATTGGCTTCCTATGATCCACTGTTCAACAGTAATGGAGAAATGTCTGGGTCTTTCTGGCTTTTCTCTTCTGCATCGTATAATGATGGCAAATGTTGGGAGACATCAGTGGAATTGAGCATGAGAATTCTTGTAGCCTCTTGAAAACAGAATCAACCCACTGAATCAGAAATTAAGCTGACTTCAGTGAGCACAACAATGGTTGAAAGGTCAAGGATCCCTAAAACTATTGTAGAACTCATTGTTTGATTTGAGGGCTTTAAAAAAGGGCATGTATTTAGGAATGTGCTGTGCTTTTTGGATTTGTAAAGTTTTGTTACCTGAGTTTTGACTTGCTGTCACAGAAGGATGCTGTGCAGTGGTCTCGAAATGTAGCTGCAGTGGATGGAGAAGAGCCAGAGGACTCTGCTGATGTGGAAAGCTGTGGGTCTAATGAAACCAGCACTGTGAGTGGTGAAAATGACGGTAAGTGCTAGAACAAGAGGTGGGAAGAGACCAAACAGTTCCTAGGGACTAAACCTTTGTTTTCTTGTCTTCCAGTATCTCTGGATGAAACATCATCGAATGCGTCCTGTTCTGCAGAGTCTCAGAGCCGGCCCCTCTCCAATCCCAGGGACAGCCACAGGACTTCCTCACAGGTAATGAGGTGCATTGGTGACAGGATAAGAGAGTGGGTAGGTGAGAGCAGATACATGACAAGATTCTTTCATCTTCAACAGATGGTCGGGAGATGTGTGTGAACAGTGTAGAGAGTAAGATTGATTGTTATAACATTTTATTATTTTTATTTTGAGACAGGGTCTTAACTGTGTGATTCTGGCTAGCCCTTGACCTTGCTATGTAGACCATCCTTGTCTTGAACTCAGAGATAATTTGCTTGCCTCTGCCTCCCCCCACCCCCCACTTGCTGGTAACATTTTTAGAAGCAGGCGTATTAGGCCTGAGAGTAGTGCCTAGGTAATTATGTTGATGGGTTTTTGTTGTTGCTTTTTTTTTTTTTTTTTTTTGAGATGGGTTTCTCTCTATAGCCCTGGCTTTCCTGGAACTTGTTCTGTAAAACTCACCGGCCTCTGCCTCCTAAGTGTTGGGAATTAAGGGGTGCACCATCAGCCCCTGGCTGTAATTATGTTTCTCCTTCTACTATTTCTTTTTTATTTTCCTCACCCCCCCCCCACCCATGTAGCCCAGACTAGCCTAACTTGCTAGCCAAGAATGGCCTTGAGCTCCTGATTCTCCTGTCATTGTCTCCTAGATGCTCCTAAGTGCTTCAATTACAGGTGTGTGCCACCGTTAATTATTTCATTCTGCTAGTTCTTTTTTCCTGTCCTGGAACTCACTCTGTAGATAAGGCTGGCCTCGAACTCACAGAGATCTGCCTGCCTCTGCCTCCTAAAGTGCTGGGATTAAAGGCGTGCGCCACTACTGCCTAGTCAACTGCTAGCTCTTACACCATGTTTATAAATGTACAGGAGGGAGTTACAGTGCATGGAGAGTATGACAACATGAACTTGAGAGGCAGCAGTGTGAAAGGTGACCTTGCCAACTTCCTTTTCTTCTACAGGTCTGGCCTTGTGCAGGTTAGGCAAACACTCTACCACTGGGCTATATCTCTGTCACTTCAGTTGTAACAAGATCCCCATCTATAGGATGGGAACATTGGTGTAGGATTCTTTCCCCCACCCCCATCTGAGGTGGGGGGGTGCTTGGTGCATTCATGATTGGCCCATGCTTATACTAACATTGCCTGGGAAATTTGTGTGCGGGTGAACTCTTTTATTTCTTTTTTATTTTATGCATATGAATGTTTTGTATTCTTGTGTGTGTGCACTGTATATATGGTCTGGAGTAGGGCCTGAAAAAGAATTAGATCCCTTGGAACTGTAGTTACAGATGCTTGTGAGCTGCCATCCATGTGGGATCAGGAATCAAACCCTGGTTCTGCTGAACTGTCTCTCCAGACCCTACATAAACGAGAGAGGGCGGGGGAGGGAGGGGGGAGAGAGAGAGACGACAGGGGGAGAGATGGAGAGAGATGTGTGAGAGTGTATTTCATACTAGCCACAGTTGTGGAGTTCTAAAGATGACTTTGGAGTGTCAGTTCTCTTCTGTTAGCTGTTGGGATTGAACAAAGGCCATCAGGTTGGGCATCAAGTGTCATTAGCCATTGGACCCACATCAGCAACCCTTCACATAATCTAATTCTTAAAAGTGAATGAGTAGAGCCGGGCGTTGGTGGCGCACACCTTTAATCCCAGCACTCGGGAGGCAGAGGCAGGCGGATCTCTGTTAAGTTCGAGACCAGCCTGGACTACCAAGCGAGTTCCAGGACAGCCTCCAAAGCCACAGAGAAACCCTGTCTCGAAAAACCAAAAAAAAAAAAAAAAAAAAAAAAAGTGAACGAGTAGGGCAAAGCCAAAGGAGTGTTGTAGTGGCCCCATGGATGACTCCTTTCTTTTTTAAAATTCCTCCTGGGAACACAGGCAAACAAGCAAAAGAAAAAGACGGGGGTCATGCTGCCTCGTGTTGTCCTGACTCCTCTGAAGGTGAACGGGGCCCACGTGGAATCTGCATCAGGTATGTGTGGCCTCGTTGGTTGTGATGCTTTTCCCTAGGGTCCTGGAGACCTGGCTTTGTCAGCAGCCTTTGACTTAGCATTGTGATGCCAATAGAGTTATTGAGTTCAAGAGCCATGAAAACCCACGAACGCAGTGTACAGTTGTGGTGAGGGCTTTGTGTTGGGTTCTACCATACAACCTCCTCTTGCCTCCATGGTCAGCTGTGAACATCTGATGATGACTTTGCCAGTACTTTGTAGTTTGACATAAAAGCTGTGGTTTGGTGTTCTTTAGTGACATTTTAAAACCATACCATGAGGTAGTGATCTCTGCTAGCCAAGGACTGGGAGCCAGAAGTGTATCAGGGAGGTGGCAGCATACCAGGGAGAGTTGGGAGAACTAAACTTGTCTGAGAGCCATGAGTACAGCCTGTAATGCTTTTGACCAATGGAATGCTGTGCCTTTAGGGTTTTCAAGCCGCCTTGCCGATGGCGAGAGTGGCAGCCCATCCAGCAGCAGCAGCGGCTCTCTGGCCTTGGGTAACACTGCTATTCGAGGCCAGGCTGAGGTCACCCGGGACCATGCCCCACTCTTGAGAGGCTTCCGGAAGCCAGCTACAGGTGAGTGGGTTGGCACGTGTTTCTCTGCCTGAAAAAGAGCCCTCTGCAGGCGGGGCAGTGGCGGCACAGGCTTTTGATCCTAGCACTCTGCTGAGGCAGGCAAATCTCTGTGAGTTCAAGGCCTGTCTGGTCTACAGAGCTGGTTCCAGGACAGCTTAGGGCTTTTACACAGAGAAACCATGTATTGAAAAACAAACACAAGCCGGGCGTTGATGGCGCACGCCTTTAATCCCAGCACTCGGGAGGCAGAGGCAGGTGGATCTCTGTGAGTTCGAGGCCAGGCTGGACCGACAGCCTCCAAAACAGAGAAAGAAAAGAAAAAGAAAAGAAAAACAAACACAAAAAAGAGCCCCCTGCAGGCCTGAAGGTAGAATGATATCTTCTCCAGTTCCTTTGTCAGTTTAATTTTGCTTCTTAGATGATTTGCTGTTGTTTGTTTTTGTTTTTTTTCCCCTTGAATTTTGATTATTTCATGTGAGTAAACTCATAGCAGAAATGGAGTCACATTGTTTCTTGTCTAGCCCATACCTACCTTGATATTGTTTCACAAGTGTTTAAATTACCCTCTTCTTCATGAAGGATCCCCATGTCCATTTTGAGGAGTATAGCATCCTGCTTATACTCAGCATCCATAGTCCATTAGACGCTCCATTGTTTCAGCCTAGGCAGTGTGTTGAGTGGGAACATGTGTTGAATTTGGAGTGTACAAACAAACTCAGTAGGGCTATCTGCAAGGCTAGTATGCTGTTTGCTATTTTCAGGATTGGTGTCTAAAGGCCCATCCTGCTATGGTTGTTTTGTAGTTGGGCTGTGTGAAACCATTATAAGACTAGCTTTGAATTCTGAAAAATCAGAATGTGTTATTCCCAAGTGGAAATGAGCTTTCACTGTCTTGATGCAGTTACAGTTTAGCAGCAGTGCTTAATCCAAGATCTTCAGCTATCTTTGTTTTTTCTTTTTTCTTTTTCAAATAAAAATAACATTTGCATATTTCAAAAAGCTGTGACCCTTCACTTGGCTTTTAATAACCTTTAGTACATGTCTGCCTGGAGAACATACCTCATTCACTAAGCCTTCTGGGTAGGTGTTTCTGTAGTACACTAACTAAATTTGCTTCTCTGGTTTGGCTTTGTGGGGCTTGTTCTCCAGCCTTAGTGGGAAGCTTAGAACCTGTCCTGTCTGGTTTTCTTGGGAAGAATGTCTTCCTCAGGCTTTGATCCCAGGGGAAGCAAGCCTGAATGTTCTCAGGATTTTTTTTTTCCTTAAGTTGAAAATTTGTACCCTTACTTCCAAAACTGCAGGTCAGATGAAGCGCAACAGAGGGGAAGAGGTAGATTTTGAGACACCTGGGTCCATTCTTGTCAACACCAACCTTCGTGCTCTGATAAATTCTCGGACCTTCCACGCCCTGCCGTCACACTTCCAGCAGCAACTGCTCTTCCTCCTGCCTGAAGTGGATAGACAGGTGCCAGTACACAGTCCCTCTTGGTTTCTGTCTAGGCGGCATCCTGTTTTCTCAAGATGCCTTACTTTCTTTTTTATTTTATCCCTTGCCTCTACTAGGTGGGGACAGATGGCCTATTGCGCCTCAGTAGCAGTGCACTCAATAATGAGTTTTTCACCCATGCAGCTCAGAGCTGGCGGGAACGCCTTGCTGATGGTGAGTAGACTTCATTACACATGGCTTGAGATGACTGTTGTGCTCGATATTTTGTAGCTCTGAGGTTAAGAATGTTGCCTGCTGTTGAGTGAATCCCAGCACTTTGAATCCCAGCACTTGGGAGGCAGAGGCAGGCCAGGTGGATCTCTGAGTTTCAGGACAGCCAGGGCTACACAGAGAAATTCTATCTTGGAAAAAAAAAATAAAAATAATAATGTTGCCTTGTCTTCTAGAGAACCCAGGTTCAATTCCCAACACCTACATGGATACTCAGAATTGTCTGTTACTCTACTTCTTGGGGATCTGATGTCTTCTTCTGGCTTCCTTCTAGTGTGCTAGGCATGCACTTGGTATACAGATTTACATGCAAACAAAACATAATGGCATTTGTGTGTATGTATGAGAGAAAGCCCCTCAGATGACATATTCAGTGCCACCATGCTCTTTTAGTCATAGCCACTTAGAGTAAATGCTAACTTCTCTGAATTTAGTTTTCTATAATAGCTTCATGATAAATGTGTGGAAAGGATCTCAAGACTAGCCCTATGTTTCATTATTATTGGCATTTTATGTGCAGAGCTGAGATTTATTACAGCAAAATAATATAAAGTAAAATCAGCAATGGGAGAAGGCACACAGGTAAGATGCCAGCCAACAGCCAGGCACAGGTTTCCAAAGTCCTTTCTGTGGTGGTAAGCACAGTGTGAAAATGTCTACCAAGAAAGTTTAGTAAAGGCTTGGTACCCAGAAATTTTTTGTTTCTTTGTTTATGTATGTATGACTATGTGCACATGAGTCCAGGTGCCTGCAGAGGCCAGAGGTGTTAGATCCCCTGGAACTTGAGTTACAGGAGTTGTAAGCCACCTGATAGATTCTCAGAACCAAACTTAAGCACTGTACCCTGGTACCCAGGATTCCTTTTCTTTTTTCTTTATTTTATTTTATTTTGAATATGCATTGATGTTCTGTTTAATATGCATTGGTGTTCTGTTTTGCCTGTGGAAAGGCATTGGGTTGTAGTTACAGACAGTTGTCAGCTGCCATGTGAGTGCTGGGAGTTGAACCTGGGTCCCCTGTAAGAGTAGCCAGTGCTCTTAACCACTGAGCCATCTCTCCAGCCCCCAGGATTTCTTTTGATTCTGTTGGGAGCCATTGCTAGTCCTAAAAGGAAATCAAGCCCTCATTTTTTCACCATCTTGTTTATCAAGAGGTATTAATATAATACATTGGCTTCTAAAAAGAAAGCAGGTGTCGTTAGCACTAATGACATTATTAGCATCAAGAGCAGTACAGTGAGTCACTCATCTGTTAGTGTGAGTGTTTGAAATCCAAGCTCCTGGAGGCCACCAAATGAGTGGCCGCAAAGATAAATATTCAGGTCTGCAGTAGTAACTTTTTCTACATAAGGAGTAAGAATGGTTCTGCTGTTTGTTCATTGTTTGGATTAGTGTATTGCTTGCTCTGAACTAATTACAGAGGGAGAAATCTTTCTTATAGTAGAAGTGTTACTTCTGTCCTAAGCATGCCCTGAGAGGGCCACTGAGAGACAGGAGTTCTGTTCCTTTTAACTGCCTGGTCGTAGCTTTATGTATGCATGAAGACCTGATTTTAATCCCAGGACCCCCCCCCCACACACACACACACACATACAATCTGTGTGGTAGCCTGCTGCCTCTCAGCAACAGTCATCAACCCCACACTGGGGAGGTGGAGATAGGCTTGCTGGTCAGATAGCCTAGCCTATATGGTGAGTACCAGGCCTGTGAAAATCCTTACTTCAAACGAAATACCTCATCTTTGGGTAGAGATGGCTCAGCAGTTAAGAATATGGTTTGGGGTACCAATGTTGGATGTTGTAGCTCCAGAGGATCTCACAACATCTCCTAGCCTCAGCAGATATCTATATGCACATAAGCCATACATACACTCATAGACATAGAAGTAAAAATGAGTCTTTGAAATAAACAAACCAACTTTGATAGCTCCCAAGGTTTTCCTCTCCCCTCTACATGCATACATAGGCACATAGGTAGGTGCAGATGTGCATGTACACACACAAAAACAGTGCTTCTTATAGAACCAGAAGACTTGGGTGTCTGTAGGACAGGTACATTAGTATCCAGAATTCACTAACTGGAACTCACATTTCTCTTTAGGTGAATTCACTCATGAAATGCAAGTCAGGATAAGACAGGAAATGGAAAAGGAGAAGAAGATGGAGCAGTGGAAGGAAAAGTTCTTTGAAGACTACTATGGACAGAAGTAAGGCGCTGAGTGCTATGAGTTCTGGTGTGGGCATTTAGGGGGACAGAAACAGTTGGCTTCCAAATACAGTTAGCCATTTATATCTGTAGGTTCTATAGGCATAGATTCAACAAACTAGCTCAGATTGTTTAAGGAGGAACTGCAACTTTGTGAGGGTGACTTTATCTGCACACTCTAACAATTGCTTTCGTCACATAATAAAACTGAATCTGCAGATGATTAGGAGACCTAGATACTCAAGGCTGAGATAGACTTAAACCCAAGTGGTCAAGGCAAGCCTGGGCAATATAAAGAGAGCTCATTTTTTAAAAGCCTATGGGGGAAAACCTAAGAGTACTTGTCTTAGCATCACAAAACAAAAAGTGTCCATAAGCTTATAGGTAGGTTATATTATAAACATGCCATTTTGTCTAAGGTACTTAGGCATCATCCTTAGATTTTGGCATCTGCAGGATGTCCTGGATACCAAGGTAGTATGTACATAAAAGCATGGAGATGGCTGTGGCTTGGCTCATTTAAAATACTATCCGCAGTGAAGTTATTGTGTTTTTCTGTGATTAGTGCTATGCACAGTGTAGATTTGTTTCATTCTAGCTAAGTTATCTGAAATGCATATTGTTCATAGAAATAAAGATAGGTGCTCTCTGGCCTATAGTTGATAATGTGAGTTTGATTTGCAGATTGGGTTTGACCAAAGAAGAATCACTGAAGCAGAAAGTGGTCCAGGAGGAGGCCAAAACCAAGAGTGGATTGTGTGTTCCAAGAGAATCATCACGACCTCAGCGTGGGCCCACCACCCGTCAACGAGATGGGCACTTTAAGAAACGTTCTCGGCAAGATCTCCGAACCAGATCCAGAAGGAATCTGTACAAAAAACAGGAGTCAGAACAAGCAGGGGTTGCTAAGGATGCAAATTCTGCACCAGATGTTTTACTCTCCAAAGATAAGGAAGCTAAGACAGACTCAGAAGGGGTGAGCAGTTCCTCTGCAGCATCTGAACAGGAGGGGCCCAAGTGTCCCAGTGAATCTGTGGCTTCGCAGATCCAATCAGAAACAGACAACTTGGCATGTGCCTCTACATCTTCAGACAGAATCCCTAGCTTACCTCAGGACATTGTGGCTCAAGAGACAAAGGATCAGAAGAGGAAATCCTTTGAGCAGTCAGCCTCTGCATCCTTTCCCGAGAAGAAGCCCCGGCTTGAAGATCGTCAGTCCTTTCGTAACACAATTGAAAGTGTTCACACCGAAAAGCCACAGCCCACTAAAGAGGAGCCCAAAGTCCCGCCCATCCGGGTAAGAGGCTTTGGTACCTAGAGCCCCAGCTGCCAGATTTCTTTTGAGGGTCATGAGATTGGGGAGCTTTTTTTGTCAGAGGTAGGGACGAGGGCAAGAACAGAGGTCTTCGGGCCCTGGCATGAATTCCATGGGGTACAGAACTTCCTGTAAGCAGGCTTTTTGTGACCATGTTAGGATGATGCTTTTCTTCACTTCTGTTACAATTTATCTTGAGGTTAAAATCCTCTGAAGTTTTACTGTTTTATTAGGTATTACTTTCTTTGTTTCATTAAATTGGACCCACAAAGGTGCATTTGGTTGCTTACCCATACAGTCCTAACACTTAGAAAGCTAAAGCAATGTGATTACTGCCAGTTCAAAGCCAGCTTGGGTTAACAATATGAAACTTTGTATCAGTGGATAAAGAACTTGCTGCCAAAGCTGATGACCTGAATTTGGGACTCAAGAAGAAAACCTGCAAGTTGTCCTCTGACCTCCATATGTGACTATGGCATGTGTGCGGGCATATACACAATAAATAAAATGTATTAAAAGTATTTTTTTTTCTGACTGGACAGTGGTGGCACACTTTAATCCCTGCACTCAGGAGGCAGAAGCAGGTGGATTTCTGTGCATTCTAGGCCAGTCTGGTCTACAGAGTGAGTTCCAGGGCAGACTCCAAAGCTACAGAGCAAGCCTCTCTAAAACAAAACAACAACAAATTTCAAGGAGGGAAAAGGGTTGGGAGATTTTCATGCAGCATAAATATTTAGTGGAGCCTGCTCAGAATGAAGTTGTGTCATGGGTACCCATTTTACTATGATTATTTTAATAGAGTTAGTTAATTCTATTAAATTAATAGAAAAGCGTTTTCTAAGCCATGACTTCTAAGTGACTTGTGTTTCAGTTTTGCTTTGTAGTTCCTAAGCCAGCACTCAGTTAAGACTGTTTTTTATGCTTTCTTTTCCTACAGATTCAACTTTCACGTATCAAACCACCCTGGGTGGCTAAAGGTCGGCCCACTTACCAGATATGCCCCCGGATCATCCCCATCACGGAGTCCTCCTGCCGGGGTTGGACTGGTGCCAGGACCCTCGCAGACATTAAAGCCCGTGCTTTGCAGGCCCGAGGGGCAAGAGGCCACCACTGCCATAGAGAGGCGGCCACCACTGCCATCGGAGGGGGGGGTGGCCCGGGTGGAGGTGGCAGTGGGGCCATCGATGAGGGAGGTGGCAGAGGCGGCGGCGGTGGTGATGGTGGTGAGGCCTGTGGCCACTCTGAGCCCAGGGGAGCCCCCGGTACCTCTGGAGAGAGTGCGTCAGATCTACAGCGAACACAACTACTGCCGCCTTGTCCTCTGAATGAAGAACACACTCCGACTGAAGCTGTCATGCCCAGAGCCAGAGGAGAGGACTTGGCTTCTCTCAGAAAGGAGGAGAGCTGCCTGTTGCAGAGAGTCCCAGGTGTGCTTACAAGTGGGCTGGAAGATGCCTCCCAACCTCCTATTGCTCCCACTGGAGACCAGCCATGCCAGGCTTTGCCCCCATTGTCCTCCCAAACTCCAGTGACTGAGAAGTTAGCAGAGCAACCTAAGTTGCTTCCAGATGGTAGAACTGAGTGCGAGTCTGGTAGCACTTCCTGGGTTAGAGGTAGAGAGGATCAAGGATCCACTTTCCCTTCAGAGAATGGTTCTGTACAGTCTCCAGTGGGAGATGTATTAGGAGGAGGAATCGACCAGGCCTTTGATAATACTCCCAGTATGAAAGAGCTTGTAAATGTGGCGCCTGCTTTTATATCTGAATTGCCATTGGCTAAGTACCTACAGGATAAACCTGCTGATGATGGATTAGGACTCAGTGACACTGGCCCTCCCATAAGGGAAAGTGATAGACAAGAATCTTGGAAAACTGAGGCTTTTGCATCTGGCAGTGCTACCTCCTGGTTGCCCGTTCTGTCAAATTATGAGGTAGTGAAAGAGTCTGAGCCAGAATCTAGAGAGAACACACCACTTCTGGAGCCCCAGGACGGAGAAGAATGGGAGAGAGCTGTTCCCCTCATTGCTGCCATGCCTGGAGAGTTGACGGCCACAGAAGGTGTGCCCCACACTGAGAATTGCACTTCCCTCTGGACAGCACCTCCTCCGAGAACCATGGACAGCACTGGCCATGATGGTGAGCCAGTAGATCTTGAAAGACTGGAGATGAATGGCATCTCTGAAACACCGAGTCCTCACGGTGAGTCTACAGATACAGCCTCTGACTCTGAAGGCCACCTCACTGAGGACAGCAGTGAGATTGATGATGCAAGTCAAGCCACAGCGGCAAAGGGGTTGTTGGTGCACAGGAGTGGAAAGCCGGACTGGGACCCATCCACCTCACTGTCCAAGGTGAGCAGTAACCTGAGTGTGCTTACAAGGACAGAAGGGATAGTGGCTTCTCAGAGCTGGGTGGCTAGAGTATGTGCAGTCCCACACAAGATGTCAGACTCCCTGCTACTGTCCAGTACTGAGTGCCAGCCCAGGTCTGTGTGCCTGCCCAAGCCTGGTTCTTCAGCAGAGGTTACCAACCCTCTTGTGATGCACCTCCTGCATGGTAACTTGCCTCTAGAGAAGGTTCTTCCTCCAGGTCACAGAGGCAGCAAGCCAGAGTCTCCACAGCTGCCACTTAGAGAGCAGAGCCAGGATAGAGTTGCTGTACAAGATACTGGGGAAGACAATCACCTAGTTGCCAGAAGCAGCCCTGGTTCTGCACTAGCTTTGAAGGAGTCTCTTCTGGCCCAGAGCTATGCAGCAAGCACTGGTCTTGGCAGGGCAAAGGCCTGCCAGGCTCCTGAAATGCCCCAGAAGATTGCCAAGATGGTTCCAAATTTAGACTCTAAGCATCCAGTAACAGAACTGACACCCTCCTCTGGCAACCTGGAAGAAATAGATTCCAAAGAGCATTTCTCTTCCTTCCTTTGTGAAGAGCAGAAAGAAGCCCATTCCCAGTCCCAGGGCAGTGATCCAGGTACTGCCCCAGGCCAGTGTCCAGGAGATCACACTACCTCCGAAGTGCCATGTTTCTCCTCTGCAAATGTGAGCCTCTCCTTTGGTCCTGAGCAGACAGAAAGGACCCTGGGTGGTAAGAACAATGCTGGTGGCCAAGAGAAGAAACTGTTTGGCCCTGGGAATACAGTTACCACCCTTCAGTGCCCCAGGTCTGAAGAGCAGACACCACTACCTACTGAGGGCCCTCCAGTTTTTCCCAGTAGGAAGATAGAACCAAGCAAAAACTCCATATCTGATGGCAAGCAGACTGCAAGGGAAGACTGGACACCAAAGCCACCGCCTGGCCCTGCTGGTGGCCTCAAGACAGAGCAGACATTCTCAAGGGGTCCCCATAAGACAGATGCAGAGAATAGAAAAGCTGCAGGGTATAGTCCTCTGGAACTAGTGGGTCACTTGCAAGGGATGCCTTTTGTTGTTGACCTACCTTTCTGGAAATTACCCAGAGAACCAGGGAAAGGGCTAAGTCAGCCCCTGGAGCCTTCTTCTATCCCCTCCCAACTCAACATCAAGCAGGCTTTGTATGGGAAGTTTTCTCAACTCCAGCTGAGTCCCACCAGCTTTAATTACTCCTCCAGCTCTGCCACCTTTCCCAAAGGCCTTGCTGGCAGTGTGGTGCAGCTGAGCCACAAAGCCAGCTTTGGTGCAGGCCACACTGCATCACTCTCCCTGCAAATGTTCACTGACAGCAGTTCGGTAGAAAGCATCTCTCTCCAGTGTTCATGCAGCCTCAAAGCCATGATCATGTGCCAAGGCTGTGGAGCGTTCTGCCATGATGACTGCATTGGACCCTCAAAGCTCTGTGTATTGTGCCTTGTGGTGAGATAATAAATTATGGCCATTGGAAACATTGTATATTTAGTGTGTGTATTTTAATAATGGTTGATCTTAAATCTGTATACAGAATATCATTGATATATTGAAATCCCTAGGTGAGATAAATCTTGCCTCCCCCCTAAAATTTATAGTGCTGAAGCCCACGGTCACTTGACACCCTTCTGGTCTTGCTGGAAGGGTTTTTGGGGAGGGGGGATGGAGCTGTGGTTGCCCACAACCAGCCAGCCTAAACCCTCTTGTAGTCAGGCAGTATAGTGTGACAGGGCAACCTGTCTGACACCCAAATGGAGTTGTAATTGAAGCAGGAAGGTTGGGTTCTCCATGGATGATGGAACTCACCTACCTGAGCTGAGCAGGAATGTCAGTCTTCCACTACCCCCCCCCCCCCCCATCATCTTCTGCTACTTTGCTTGGGGAATTGATAGTTGCGGAAGCCACACAGGGTTAAAATAACTTCCATCATTGCCCACCAGGGGATCAAACACCTGCTGACCTTGATGTCATATTTCTGTCATTTACCAGTTGATGGAGCCAAGTTGACTTTTGGTTCTGGTGCTTCACCCAGTTTGGACCTTTTATCTGTCTGTAACCCATGGATCCATAGATTCTTTTGGAAGCTTGAATAGCCCTTCTTGGACAGTGGGGTCTGGCAATAGGGCTGTCTGCTATGGAAATGCTATCTGTAGACCTTGAGAGTCAGCTACAGATGTTTGCAGCCCACCCCTCACATTTGACTATGGGAGTGGGCACCCATGCACCTATGTATGTGAAAGTCATTTTACATTTCCAAGCAGTCTGTTTCTTATTTTTATATTTTTAACTATTCTTGGATGTATAAAGTGAACTTTTTGGCTTCTGTAAGTATGCTCTATGCACCTCCGATGTTTTATCCTGTATTTATATGTTGTACACAATACTGGCCAATTCTGTAAATGGATGGATTGTACAGAGAACATGAACGCCTCTTCCTTATTTTACGTCTTCAGCACCCTTGATTAAAATGGTGTTTACTTCTGTGCACCAGTTGTCAGAGCCACTGAGTGCTGTGCTGCCTGATGTGAGAAGGAAGTTACTGACTTGTGACCTATAAGGTTGGCCCTGTGCCTTGTCACCTGTCACCAAGGAATCTACCACAGCTTACAGCGCCACAGACAGCTGCTCACACACCACTGGGCAAACATGTCTTGTTCCTTGTATCTATTCTCTTCCAGCCTTGAGTGGCTGCTCTGCTGCCATATATGACAAATTGCCATCACCAGTGTTAAGTGCTTCTGGATTCATGGATGAGTTCCTTGGGCGGCCCCCAGACAGGCCTTCTGGATCTGGCTCCAGGGTCGTCACCTGTCAAAGCAATATTGGGGATCACTAGGCTCCTTTTGACTTACTTTGGACAGTAGGTTTCAGGGGAACAAAGCCATGTCTGCTGCCTGCCTCTCCTAACGTGTTTCCATCAAGAGACACCCTTAGTATGTGTCTGACCTCGTCCCAGTTCTTACCCTGTTTCTTGTATCAGTTGGGAGTCCTTGTTTGATTTCGCTGTCTCCTTGTGTGAGTGCTTCTGTATGAAGTATAAAACGTTGTGTGCCTTGAGCGAATCTCATTTTCTCTGTAAGCTGCCTCTCTCCCATTCATCTGAGGTGGCTCTTTTTTTGGGGGGGGCGTCCATCAAGTGTGAGTGAGGATGGTAGTGGTGTGATTTAAATTCAGTATTGGCCAAGTTCATGTTGTGTGCTCAAAAAGTCTCTACCAAAGACCAGGAGCAGGAGCCAAGCATGTCCAGTCTTCTTCTAAGACCTTTGGGGTCTCAGAAGTGAAACTTGACAGTGGTCTGGTCCATGGGGCTACTCAGAAAAGCGCTGCTCTTGTATGTCTGATTGGTATTGGAAAAATAAACCTGTACAACCTGCTCTTGTGTCTGTCATCTGTGGCTGACTGTGGGTATGAGAAGGGTGGTTTAAGTACAGAGCTGGACAGCAAGGAGCTGGACAGGTCCTCTTGATGGGCTCCTTTGTGCAATGAATTGGCAGCTCCACTGGTCTTTGAACTTAATTCAGTGACCATTTCCATTGGGGGTGTAGTACAGCTAGAAAGCTAATGGAAGTGATGGAACTTTGCAAATGGAAACTGTAAAAGACTTCCTCCTCCTCCTACGAGAGCATCCATACCACCTGACATGAATTCCCATGGTTGGTGACCTGACAATGACTAGTTCTGGCCTTGTTATGGTGTGAGGCCTAAATGGATGCCTGGTGCTTCAGGAATAACTATTTCAGGAGTGCTTTCAATGCCCAGTTTATGACTGTATCTAAGCATAACTAAGCAAAATTGGCATGATGGAAGGGAAACCTAAACAGAGTACCTGTGAGTGGGAGTCAGAGCAGAAGTTTTGTGGGGCTCCCGCTGAGCATTCCTGTTGGGTGACGTAGCCCCTGCTGGTGAAGATTTCTTCTGCATCTGTGTTACCACATCCGCCTGTCCTTGTGTCTTCAGGAGTTTAGACTCTGCTGGGGATAGTTGTGCCACTTGAATCATATCAGAGGCAGGATGGGGTGGTGGTTAGATCGCAGGCTGCATCCCAGACCACTCCATTGGCTTGGGTGTAGCACTTTGCCTGCCACTGTCTTGTTCAAATGAGGGTGCTGGTTGCAGTGACATGGGGTGATTGGTACATTTGCCACCCAGGAGGTACTTAGGCCAAGGCAGGATTAATAGCTCCTGAAGACTAGAAGTAGCTATTACCACATGTCACTCTTAGAATGAGCTCAGGATCCAGGCCTGTGGGCTGTGCTGAGGTAGTGTCAGGCACCTCTTGGTGTTCAGTCCCACTCTACAGCTATCGGATGCAGTGCTGAAATTAGAAGACCAAGCTCAGAAAAGCAAAAGGTATGCATGATATGTTTGATAACCTAACATGCTCTTGATAAAAAAGGACTTTGTCTGCACAGTGGTGGCTCCTGCCTTTAATCCCAGCACTGGGAAGGCAGAGGCAGGTGGATATCTGTTCAAGACCAGCCTGGTCTACAGAGTTCCAGGACAGCAGAACTACAGAGAAACCCTGTCTTGATAAAACCTAAAAGAAAAGTAGATCTTGTTTGAAAGGGATGGGTCTGTGTACACATTAGAAATACCAGACTCAAGGTGAGTGCATACTAGGTTTTCCTTATGCTACGGTACTATTTATTGTAAGCTGTAGAGAAGATGGGGCTTGTGACCTGGAGATTGCTACTCGTGCCCCAAATTGGGCAGCAGTCATGTTTCTTGTCTCCATTTCGCATCAGTTTGAAAGCCTGGCACACAGCCGGGTGTTGGTGGCGCACGCCTTTAATCCCAGCACTCGGGAGGCAGAGGCAGGCGGATCTCTGTGAGTTCGAGGCCAGCCTGGTCTACAGAGTGAGTTCCAGGACAGCCTCCAAAAACAATACAGAGAAACCCTGTCTCAAAAAACCAAAAAAAAAAAAAAAAAAAAAGCCTGGCACAGTACTATTTGGGTACTGCCTTGCTTCAGTAGGTGGGTGTTCATTTTCAGAACACTCCTGGGGAGTGCACCTGCTGCACAAAGGGTCTAGAGGCAACTAGGCTCTTTATATAAAACCTCCTAGATGGTAAGGGAGATAGACCTTTGAAAAGATTAATGGGGATTTTCTCTAAGTACTAGCCTCTCCCATGTGTTGGTTTTGTTTTATTGGGTTTGGGGGGGTGTTTGGCTTTAAAAAAAAATTTTTTTTAAGATAAGGTCTCAGAGACCTGTATGGCCTGGAATTCACTATATAGACCAGGCTAGCTGTCAACTCAGATCCCCGTGCCTCCAGAGTACTGGGATTAAAGGCATGTACCACCTAGTGGTATTTTATTTTTCACAGGGTCTCATATATCTGTCTCAAGGTTTGATCCTCCCCTACTTCTCAGGTGCTGGGCATGGACCACTGCACCTTGTTACATATGGTACTGGCAACTAAATCCAGAGCTTTGTGCATGCTAGGCAAGCCCTCTGCTAATTGAGGCACAGCCTCAGCTCAGGCCTCTAGGACGTTTCAGATGATTTTGCCAGTATTGTTGAGAGAGCTTGCCACTGCTTTAAGATTAACATTTCCTATTTGATGATATCCTTGTGTCAACTGTTAACAGCAGTGGTCTGAAGAACCACCTAAAGAAACAAGAGGAACGGTCCCGCTGTTTTCTCTACTCCAGCCCCTTCCCCTGGGACTCCCCTGTGCCAAGGAGCAGCAGCCTCACTGGGGAGGTAGGTGTTTGCTGATGGCTGAAAAGCCACTAGAATCTACACCATCTTGTTCTGTGGGTACTTTCAGGGTTGTGGGTTTTTATGGGCCCTTAATGACTCTCATGAACTTTCTTGGCATTACTGAGGATTGCTGGCCCTTGGGCTTCATGCCTGTGGAGGCACAGCTTGTGTTGGGCCATACATAATCCCATCTGCACAGCTCAGGTGCATAGTCAGTGAGGGCTCCAGACCGCTCACACTCAAACTTCAATGTGAGCATTTGGCTGCTTCAAGGAATTTCTGCTTGAGACTTTAATAACTGGTAATGTAGCCAGGTGTGGTGGGCACACTTTTAATCCTAATACTTGAGAGGCAGAGGCAGGTAGATCTCTGTGAGTTCAGGGCAAGCCTGGTCTACATAGTTCCAGGACAACGTAGATACCCTGTTTCAAAAACCAAAAACCTGCTTATATCTGCACGTACAGTTTGGATAGTAAAAATTTTGCTTTTGACTTTTCACATTCAATTCTTTTTTTTTTAAGATTTTATTTATTTATTACATATACACCAGATTGAATTGTAGATGGTTGTCAGCCACCATGTGGTTGCTGGGAATTGAACTCAAGACCTCTGGAAGAGCAGTCAGTGCTCATAACCTCTGAGCCATCTCTCCAGCCCCACATTCAATTCTTTTTTTCAACCTCATAATCAACTTGTTCCCTAAAAGCTTAGCCTAAATGATTGGTAGGATGAAAAACTATGCAAATAAATATTAGGGAAACTGGCCTTTTGTTTTCTTTCAAGGTAGGATTAGGGTTTTGCCTAGAATTGGATGTCAGTTACTGAATGTTCAGGACTAGTTTTCCAAGCTCTTTGAGGTAGTAACTATAGGAACCTAGATTTGGTCAGTTGGCCAGGCACTAGGATAGTAGGAAAAGGTACAGGTTTTGTTGTCACACAACTGCAGCTAAATTATTGCTTGGTTGATGACTGAATTTAGGTAAGGTGTTTGATACACAGTGTGCCTCCACTGCATAGTCCTCTAGTGGGGAATGAGGTGACTGTGAAACTTGACGGCATCACAGGAGACCCTGTCACCAGTGCCGGGCACCTTGGGGGAGTACCTACTGAGTACCTATTAGCACTGAGGATGTCTGTGAGCTGGCTGTTGACTAGGGAAAGGTGAACTCTATTGGTAGGAAGATGTCTCAGTACTAGATTCAGAAGGACTAGAACTGGTTGGCAGTGCTGCTAGAGGTGGGACACAAAGCTTTGGGTTTGTTGTTCAGTGTTTATTAAGTAGATTCAGTCTGGTATATGATATACAGTCTCAAAAGGAAAAGGATTCCACATACTTATGACATCAGTGCATTTAGCAGTAATACCATGGAGATAACCGCTCATTAACAGCTCATTGGTCTTCTGGTAAGTGAGGGAAAGAGGGTGTCGGCCTGTGCTAGTCATTCCACAAACAAAACAGAATTTAGTAGCCGCATCACGTAGAAAGACACATCCTAAGAATTAAAGTATTAAGCCACATTTACTGGGAAACTCTATACAGAACACAAACACTTTATAGAGCATTGAGGAGGAGGTCCTCACCTGCTTAGAAGAGCCACATTAAGTTGCATAGGTGCATATCTGTAAAAATATAATTTAGCGGTGAAACCATTGATTAATAAAGTCACCTTTAAAAGTTGGTGCCATCCACTGCTTGCGGTAAGTGCCTTATGCTTACTGTCTGGAGCCCCTGACCCTCCCCAGAGGTGGTGGGAACCCTGAAGAAGTACTTGTACCATCTGCACAGTCAGTCTCACCTGAATGGAACTCACGCTCTTCCAAAATGTGTCTTGTTATGCCAGCAGATTGATGGCCTTTTGTGTTGTCCCTATATCCTGCCTGGCCTGCTCCCAAAGGCCCATGAGTCCCCTTGACCTTCCTATTGCCTGCTGCCCAAAGAACTTCCTCCCAGAATTGGGCAGTGAAGTCCTGCCTTGCTGTCTCCTCTGTGTGCTATAATCCCCACCCAGCTGGCAGGAGGCGCTAGCTTGATTCCTATGTGAACACATGATAGAGGCACAGGGCGTCTACCAGGCAGGGTGTATTGGCAGATCTGAGTTCCAGGTGGTGTAGGTTTTGTTTTTAGGTGGAAACGGGTACAGAGAGAGGTTTTGCTTTGTGGCTTTGCTAAGCAGATGAGCTAGTGAGGTGCGTCTTCCTCCTCGAGCGCGTCTTGCAGAACACACAGGGATGGGGCATCTGTACATGTAAACAGTACACTTCCACTGAGTCCAAAATTAGGAGCAAAATACAAAGGTTCACATTGGTCTTAGGTAGATACAGGCAAGAGAGGATTGAGCTGTTGAGCTCAGAAACAATAAAACAAAGTTTCTAAAGCACCACTAAATTATATAAAAATCAGACTACGGACAGATTGAAACTGGTATTCTGGTGAAATACTTTACTATCTTGTAAAAAGTTTTACAAAAATTACAAATTAAAAGTATCAACCCTCTGAGTTCAAAGCAGCATTTTGAGAATGAACTGGTAGTTAATCCTATAACCACCCATGGAGTCGTATGTGGCCCTTGAGAATAGGGAGGGACAGATGGGTTCCATCTGTTCCAAGACCTCTAAGACCCTCCTAGCCCTGCCTGCCCCTCCCCAACACCATCCTTGGGAATAAAC